ACATCACCTTATGCGTCACCACTTGCCACTTTTTGTATTTTGTATATGTTGGATATTTTGTAAATTTTTTATTCTTATTGTCTGCACTTTATATTTATATTATCTTATCTGCACTTTTTTTTTTTTTTTTTTACTCTTTCTTTCTCTTTTTGCAGTCTTTGGATCGGTCAGGGTTCATTTCACTGCATGTTGTACTTGTTATAACTATGTATGTGACAAATAAAGAATCTTGAATCTCTTGAATCTTGAATCAGTGTTACCTGTTGTTTTTACAATGTTAATGTTTATTAACTCTTATAGTGTTCAATTTACACCATAGGGTGTTAAGTCAATGAGTCTCCACCTCCACATATCTGTCCCATTTTAATATGCACACAAGACATCATGAGAATAAGAAGAGCCATCCCAGATTTACCCACCATCATGAGAAAGACTGACCAAACAGGACCTTACAGCTTTTTCTTGTTTTATGTTAAAGCTTTGTTGGTTTAGTTCTAATTGATCTTGAAGAATTGAGAGCTGTGGTCTTATAGCATATTGCTATACAGTCAAAGGAAAAATGCTTGGAGTTGTACAGGGCATGTCTCTAGAGTGGTATGTATTTCAATGGTGTGGGGGTGTGTTTGACTGCAAGTCCTGCCCTTGGATGATTAACATATGTGGAAAGGTGTTTGGACAGTGGCGATACCCTTTTCTGTGCAGCCCCTAGTACCACCCACTCCGCTGTAGACCAATCGTGCTGGATGTATATTTGCATAGCATGACACAGTACTGTTTTTAACTTAATAGATTTTTTTAAATCCACCGCGATTGTGATGAATAAGGCAAGAGAACAAAAACCACAGAAATGCCCGGGATAAGGTGGGATGGTCTAGCCTCTATGCCTTAACGAGAGGATAAACGCTATGGAAAAACCGGTCATTTTGGGTTTTTTTTCCCAAGCCTCAGTTCTCTAGGAAGTTCATTTTGACCTTATGTTCCTGTACAATTGAGATTTCTTTGGGTATGCACATATATAAGAACTACCACACTACTCAGACCAATTAACATACACAAGCAACCCAGAAAAAGAAATGTGGTAAAGACTAATATCAGTGCCATACCATCCTCGATCGTGGGGGGTTTCTAAAAATTAAGCTTGATGAAAATCTTAATATTAAATGAGAAAAGTGATTTGATTTGTTCTATCACACGTTGTGGTCTAAAAGCAATGAGGCCACCACCCATTATATCTGCTTTAGCAGAAATGCACTCCTTCCATCATTAAGATAGCTCTCACCTTTTTTCAGTCCTGCTGAATAAGTATGTTACGCAGTCTAACACAGTCTAGCTCTATAATCTGTGTTTGGTGACAGGTGCCGTGCATTTCACGCACTTTCATACTACAAGCAGTTCTTAGTATAGTTCTCTGGTTATCAAGAGCTGAACTGAAATAAAACTTACATAAAAAGAGAAAAGGCTATGTTGGTCTGAGTCTTTCTTATTATGGTGGGTTAGTAAAACACAGCAGCTGAATGCCCAAATAAGTTCAAATAAGAGTACATTAAAATGGGGCAGATATGGGCCACCCATTTTGTACTTGTGTGCCACCCATATGGGCTTGCAATTTGGGAAGAGGTGGAGACACATTGTCCTAACACTCTAGGTTGTAAATTGAACACTATAAGAGTTAATGAACATTAACATTGTAAAAACAACACTCACTGCACACTGTAAAGTGTTAAAGGTAACACTGAATGGTGTGGACACATATAGACACCATGCAGTGTTAATTTAACACTGGCACATTTGCTGTGTACTTTTTAATTTATTTGCACCATGTTTCCTTGTTTTCAATGCATACTGTCTTTGCGCTTTGTCTGTTTTGTTATGTCTGTCTGTGCTCTTCGCACTTGCTGCTGTTTGCGCCAGGATTTCAAATTGGGAACAATAAAGTTTATATTAATCTTATCTTTTGTTGCAGACAGTTTATTTTTAGCTACTGCACACAGAAGAAAAGGGCCATGTTACAGTCAGGGCTCATTTAGAAATTAGACTAATGTAGCCTTAAGAATATTCAGCTTAAATTTCTTAAAGTGTCTGTATTCTCAAATACTGGTTCATAAACATAACGTGAGCCGAATACAGATTATCCATTTGTGTATTCTGAATATGTAACGCAGTTACCTGTATTTCAGTACAACCCAACCCTGGTGTCATGTGACTGGGAATGTGTGAATTGTACCTTTATAAAGGGAGCTGAAGGAAAGACAGTGATTGTTTAAATTAAGAAAACCTTTGATTTATTAAACATAGACAGTCATGATGTTGCATTTTATATCCATAATAATCATAGGATAAGGCACTAGTGTGGATACTTATACACCACAGACTAATGTAATCTTTCCCTTTTCAGAATATTCAATTCCGATTACAGTAGCTGCTTTGGGAATCTGTGCCTGCATCATTATCAAGGATTATTTATTGTATCAGGAAAAAAAGCGCTTGGAAGGATTTTACTGTAAGTATGAAACTTTGTACTGAACCATATTCAGCCTGTTTTGTTACTGATAATTTACATGAGTCACCCTTTAAATTGTCATCAGTGTACAATTAACATCCATGTAATTCTCAAAATTTTATATGTTTATATGTAGTTTAAAAATTGTAATGCTTTGCAAAATGATGCTTATTGAAATATTCATTTCATGATTATTTTTTGGCAAAATTGAAGTATTTTCCTTATTTTCTAGTTTCCCTATTCTCAAAAGTATATTACAGTTTATCATCATGAATGTTTCCCTGGTATTTTGCTGCTTATTCCTGGTTCTTTGGAGGCACCATGATGAGGTATAAAAAGCCCTTTATTTATTCAGCAAGATGTTCCCCATGCAGCTGAGACTGCAGCCTCTTCTTAGTGTCACCTCTCCGCCCTTCTCTCTCCTGAGCTGACTTACAGCCTCACATCAGTCTTTCTCCTCATCATCCTGGGGTCTCCTGGCCTCGTCTCCTCATAATTGTCCTATAAGCTATCTTACTGTTAGCATTCATTACTAATTGTTAGCATTTAAGTCAGATATAAAATGGTGGGAAAGTACAGCTGTGGATGATAAACCATATATCAATATACTGTACACCACACCTTCCGGCCGGGCTTCCTGAGTGACCCTGGCAAAGGCCAGAGCCTCAGTCATTCTGCTGCATCCGAGGAAGTACAGACACACATTCATAAGCGATGTTAGGCTCCATCAGTAAATACCTTCCTTCTGTCCAGATGGTGATTCCCCCTGTTTAGGCAGCAGTACAAACAGTGCATGGTGTCAGAGTGGATATATCAGAGTTCTGTGTGCAGCACAGTTCAGCTTTAAGTGATGAGAATATATGATGTACAGTGACCTGGATTTAGTCCGATTACCTGTTTTACTGTTAACTTTCATGTTATTTTCCTCAATTTAAATATTACAATCCAAAAAGTCGTTGTTCAAAATCATTTCTTTTAATAAATCAGAATGAAATTATACTTAAAATAAATAAAGGTCTTAACTCAGACTTACAACCTTCTCTAATTTTTTCAAGTTAAGCAAAAATAAAAAAATCAATGTAATTTTAGTGGTGTTGAAAGCAGGCTAATTGATTAGGTTTGGATTTATGCAAAATAAATTGCAATCGACAGAGTATCTGTTTGTTCAGTAAATTTGAATGCTCCCCAATTTGTACCAAATATTTTCGCTAAGACATACAAGGGGTGGACAAAATAAAGGAAAAACCAATCTGAGCCCCAGAGGAACCAATCAGCAGTGGAGTGTTCAAGCAGAGTGAAGCAAATAACAGAATTAGCCGGTGCATCAGGAACAAAAACAGCACAATTAATATAACAAGGGAGACAGTTTGAAAAATCATAACCAAACACAGACAAACTGCATCAGCAAAGAGGAACAGTGGTTACAAGTCAAAGATCACAGACAGGGACTGACAGACAGGGACAGATAGACAGAGTAGCTGGTCACCATCACAACAGTACGGCCTCAAACACCACAGAACTAAAGTCTCAAAACCTGTTCATCATGAACTTTACAAAGCTGGGATTTATGACAGGGCTATAATTCAGAACTGCTTGTATCCAAGGCCAATGACCAAAAACACATAACCTGGTGTAAGGAACCCAGAACATGGACCCCTGAACAATGGAATAGAGTAACATTGTTTGATGAGGCATCTGTCACCCTTTTCTTACATTCAGATTGAGTGTTATTATCATTTCAACCACACATCATTAAATATATGGCAGAATCAAAAGGTATTTCTCTATGGTCATGTGTGACATTAGAAAAAACTTAATAACATAGAAGCAGGACCTTTGCAACAGTAAAAGTAAAATATAAAATGTGCCAAGTAAAGTAATACAGATGCAGAGTGTGCTCAGCAAGGCAGTATTGCAGTGTGCTCAGTAGTGCAGTACTACAGAGTGTGTTCAGTAGTGCAGTATTGCAGAGCCTCTAGATGGTTACATTGTGAGAAAGCCAAAGGACACCATCAGCCCACAGTGTCTGTTGGTGTGGACAGTTGTCTCGTGGGAATCATTAGGACTGTTGATGCTCTGCGTGGTCCTATAAGAGCCAAGGAACATGAGGGCTTTTTACAAGAGCAGCTGCTCCCTGTGTCTCAGACACTGTTCCCTCATGATGTTCCCTTATCCCAAGATGATAATGCCCCCGTACACACTGCTAAACAGATTCAGGAGAGGTTTCATGAGCACCAGGATGGAGTTAGATGCCTTCCTTGCCCTCCCAGGCACCAGATCTGAACACCATTAAAGCTTTATGGGAAGTTCTGGAGCACAGTGTGTGAAGTCCATTTCCACCCTATTCATCTTGCAAAGACCTGGAGGCTTTTCTTTCTGAAGATCAGTCCAATGTCCCACTGCATACATCAGGATTCCATGACTATGTTGTAGGAAGATCTGAACCTATTACTGCAGCTAAAGGGGGCTGAACTCCTTATTAGGTCTTTGAAATTAATATACTGATGTTTCCACCATTTTGCCCACCCCCTGTAAATGCCCACCCCTCAAAGATATAACAGCCAAAAGTTGTATGTTATGTTTATTTAATGTGTTGTTTTACGTGTTTTATTGCTTTTCAGATTTTGCTCAGAAAATCCTTTTGGGGATTTTCTTAATGATTCACCTAATATTAAGTTTCCTGTACCTAAGTGTGATTCTACAAAATGACAAAGGTAAGGAAAACCTTTAACTGTAAGGAAACCATTTGATTGTAATAGAGCTTTAATTGTCAGTCATTTTTGGTAAATGGTGTTTGTAAAATGTTTATAAACCTGAAATTATTTTTGGGATGCAGTTAACAGTAATGTACTATAACTATTTTAGTATCAAGTCATTATTGAATTACACCCTACTAATAAAGGCATGTACTTTGATGTAATCAATATGAAATAGACAGTAATATATTCTGTGTGAGCTGTAAAAAGGACATTTCCAATAGTGAAGCGGTTTTATTCAATTCATCTGTGTCTTCAGAGATAAATTTACTGATTTTATAGGAACAGAAAGTTGTTAATTTCATGACTATCCCTTGTTTTACTAAAAACAGATATTAACTGCAACTAATTCTGACCACAGGACGACCTGTAAAGATCTGCGAGTTTGTGTTCATCAACATTCTGACTGTCACAACACTCTTTGTATTCCGGGACCGGGAACATTTACTTGGTTTGTATTGATTTTTAAAAAACCTTTTAATTGACGAGGTATTTAAATATTGTGTGTCATAAATACTTTTAAATAATTTTTATGAAATATTATGATTTATTTTTTTATTTTGTGAACACAGATTTTTTTTTAATTAAGGAAAATACCCAATGGCTGTTTGACTGTATACTGTATATAGTGCTGTGACAAAGTAATTGGTCACTCAATCAACTAATAAAACAAATCTAAATGATAATGGGTTAGGGTTATGATAATTAAACTAGACACACCCAAGCTTGATTGCTGCCAGCCCTGCTGAACCTACACATCAATTAAATAAAACCATTGCAGCAATGTAGAGCTGGATAAGGGGTCTCAAGAAGCAGCAGACCATGCCTCAATCAGAAGAGCTTCTTAAAGACCTGAGAAAGAAAATCACTGAAATATGTCAGTCAGGAAAGGGGTACAGAGCACTCTCTAAAACCTTTGCACTCCAGCAAATCACTGTGAGAATCATCATCTCCCAATGGAGAAAGCCATGGTAGATCTGTGCAGGAGTGACCAGCCTAGCAGAATTACTCCAAGAACACAAAGAAACCTCATCAGGGAAGCTACAGCAGAAAACAGACAAAGATCTAAGGAACTGCAGCTCTCTCAGATCCGTTAATGTCTGATTCCATTATTAGAAAGACACTGTGCAAAAATGGTGTCCAAGGGAGAGATGCAAGGAATAACCACAGCTAAATAAGAGGAACATGAAGGCTCATCTTAACATTCGCCAAAAAGCACCTCGATTAGCCCCAACACTTTTGAGAGGATGTTCTGTGGCCTGATGAGTCAGAAGTGGAGCTTTTTGGAAGACATGGGTCCTGCTACATCTGGCGTAAAGCTAACAGCTTCTACACAAAGAACATCATGGCCACAGTCAGACATAGTGCAGGCAGAGTGATGCTGTGGGGATGCTTTACTGCTGCCCGGCCTAGGCGACTTGCTGTAATTGAGGGATGCATGAATTCAGCTGTCTGCCAGAAAGTGCTGAAGGAGAATGTCCATCATCAGTCTGTGATCTGAAGCTGAAGCGCATTTGGGTTATGCAGCAGGACAATGATCTGAAGCACAAGAGCAAGTCCACCTCTGAATGGCTGAAAAGAAAAACAAAATTAAGGTTTTGTAGAGGCCTAGTCAAAATCCTGACTTGAACCTCATTGAGATACTGGGGCGGGACCTTAAATGGGCAGTTTATATTTGAAAACCCCCAAAGTGGCTGAGTTGAACCAATTCTGTAGAGAAGAGTGGGTCAAAATGTCTCCAAAGCAATGCCAAAGGGGGGAATTACTTTGTTACACGGGTCATATACGTGTTGGGGAATATTTGTTTGTTTTTTTTATTTTATTTTTAGATTTTTTTTCCCTTCCTTCAGTAAATCAAATGATCATTTAAAAACTGTGTTGTGCACTTAGAATGTTCTTTGTACTATACTAAATTTGTTTTGTTATCAGACACATTTAAGTGTTATGGATAAGTTAAAAATAGAGGGAATCAGGGCAAATACTTCACCACAGCGCTGTATGTAGCTGTATGACTAAAGCTTTTCTCTCTACCTTTCAGCCAAACCCCGTAAATATGTATATTTCTCAGGAGCTTTTGGTCTCCCTCTCCTGAATTCTGTTGTCCTGGCTGTAGCATTAAAACTCAAAGCAGGTAAATACATTATAGATTTGAGATGTTTTACTTTTACTATGTAAACTTAACCACACAACTAAAATTGTACAAACTATTTTAGGAAATATATGAATTCCTGTGGTTTAATATCTGTCACTTATTGCTCATTTACGGACCTCAGTTCTCAGTGATTGTTGTGATCATGTCATCTCAGACACAGGAAAACAGCCACTGGATCTACGACTGATTGTCCTGATTTCTGGGTCTGTCTTCCTCTTTGGCTGGTTTGTTATAGAGATGTCTGCATACTGTAAGTATAACAGAGACATGAATAACTTACCATAATGGCTGAATATGTGTACTGGGACTGTCACGTCGCGTGAGCACTGGGAGCGCAGACAAATCGGCAGGATACCAGGGATCGGGAACACTAGGTTTAATGATAGGAATGAAGGCGAAAACACAGAACAACTACACATTACTACGTCAACATATCAATGACCGGACTGGGGAAAGAAACGGAAACGCGGACTAAATACAATGAACCAATGACAACAATCAGAAACAGCTGTAAAACACTGGGATTCCACATGAGGTTAACAAGGGGGCGTGGCACATGAGAGGAGCGGACGAACGGGGCATGACAGGGACAGCATGTTTGTGGCTTTCCAGTCATTGTTTACATCTCCACATGCTCAGCACTTAACCTGGATGAATATTACATTTGTATCCACATCATTATGAATTCACTATATGGTTTGGCTCAAGATGTAACATTTCATATCACTGCTGGTTTAATTCTTTTGAGCTTTTTTGCTCTTCCTTTATGATGCAGGACTGTAATGGCCTCCTGCCAGTAGGGGGCACTGAGGCTGTAATGGGGAGCCTGACTATTACAAAGGAAGGGAGATGATATAAACATCCTCAGTGATACAGCAAATGTGTCTATGTAATACAGAAAACTGTCACTGTCAATAATCGTTATTATATAATAATTATAAATATGCAAGTAATCATTAGTTTTCATTACACATTATTATTACTCATTACATGTAACCTGGCAGCTACAAAAAGCTCTTATTGACGACTTTGTATTTTGAGCTCCAACATGGTTAATCGAATCTTTTTTTAATTATAGGGTTGGCAAAAAAAGAAAAGTAAGTATATTTTTCTCTGTGGTATATGTTCAAGTCATTTTGTCTGATAAAATGTAATTAATGTACAAAAAATCCATCCATCCATCGTGGTGAGCCTGGTTAGAACTACAGAGTCCAAGCCGGGAGGTGTGAGGTGCCAGTGTTACCCACTGAGTCACCAGGCATAAACGTTACAAATGAGTGTAACTCTATGTAAAATATTAAAATGTTCAGAGGGCTCATCACATTTGAAACAGTAAGTTGAATTTTTGTCTCGTAATTGTCAGAATGACCTAAATTTATGGCATAATTTTATGCGGGGAATCCAAAAGTCACTCCTCTGACCGGCAGGTTAACCTGCAAATATGGGAAATAAAACACATAGAACATGTAGGAATTATGAGGACTTGCTAGTAGCACATGGGGGGGAAGGGTGCCGTCACACTAGCGTCAGGGATTCTATATCATATCCATCTGGGCCGTCATCATCTTCATTGGGGGAACCTAAAATAAATAAATCAAAAAAATAAAAATAAAAGCAAAATCTTTTACTGGGGCCATGATCTCCTTCAAAAAACATATAATAAACGAGAAACAGATGAGGAAGTGAGGACCACTAGGGGGCGGCATAGTTATCATCAGGGGCTTCCATTAACTCTGCTTAGGACATAGCTGTCCTGATCGGGGAAAACCTAAAAAACAAAAAATAGATAAAGATAAAAAGAGAAAAATGGAAGTACCCCTAGGGGGCGCCGTCATCACCAATATACGCTTCCACTGTCTCCATCAGGGTCATTGTCTTCTGTACTGAGGGAATTCTGAGTAAAAGAAAAGTAGAAAAAAATGAAAGAACTTTAGGGGCCGCTGTTATTGCTATTTTTCATTGTCTCTACCTGGGGCATGGGCATCTCCACCAAGGGAACCTAAAGACAGACAGAGGAAAAGTTAATGAAGCCAGTAATCCTTGAACATCAAGGATGTTTATTTAAGCTTTTCTGTACCATAACCTAAATATAAGGTGGTAATGGAAACTGGTAAGATATTCATAAAATTTTACTATTAAGTAATATGTGATATTCTGACAAATCTCAGTTATAATAAGTGTTATTTTTTCCTTAGATTAAAAGAAGTGTTCGTCCATCTTCTGAAAGCCAAAGATCCTGAGCCAGACCAGGTAGGTGCCCAAGATACTGTACATCTGCTCATGGGCGTCGTTAGGTCTGATAACTCAGGGCTACAGTCCCGAGTGTTTTAAGCTTAGCCCTGAGCATTTTAGCCTCTGATCTTTTCAATAGCTAGAAATTCCCCTGCATCTGCGCCTCTGGCTGGTGTCCTGGGTCCTGTTTCTCTACATCAGTCTGTAGAAGAGCCCTTATTGTGACTCCAGCACCCAGGAACATGTCAGTACATTCTCCATGGTCACAGGCCCCTGTTGTTAAACATGGTAGGGAAGGTGGTCATATATTACTGAATCTCAGAAAAAGGTTGATTAAACCAAACAAATGTATCCTGGTGATAACAAACTTGGATACTTTGCATACAGACTCCGGTAAGTGTGTCATCCATAGCCCCCAATCCAAAGCCAAAACTGAACAAATACTCTTCACATCCAGGCCAGCCACTCCACCCCACTCAACCCCCCCAGTCATGGCAATGTATACTGTAAAAAAAATTAACCGTCATTTTTTACAGTAGTTTCTCTTTTTTGAAAGCTCTCTGCAAAGCTCTGTAAAATTACAGAAATTATCCCTGAATTAATAAACCAACATTTATTTTATGTATAACGCCAGTAATGAAAAATTACATGTATTTCACATTTTTAAAAGGAAAACTACTGTTTAATTTATACTGTATGTTTTCCACTTTCTCAAATTACGTACAAATTTATGTAAAATCACAACAATTAACTGTAATTTAAAAAGTAATTCATAATTTAAAGATTTATGACCATACTAAAAATTTACCATTTTTCTTTGTAATTTTGAGGTAAATCCTATTAGTTTTGCATTACTTTGACATTTAACTTCTAAGTCCAATGTTTTTTTAAATTACTTTTAAAAAGATTATCTAGAATGAAATTGCACAGGTAAGACAGCAGCAGCCCCTCACTTTTACGTAGACTGTCAGCTCCATGTCTTCCAAAAGCATGAATTAGTAAATAAAGAGGACTGATATACTCAGCATCCATGCACGTGTTAGTCCACCCCCCCCCAATCTCAAAAAATGAGACCACATAATCACTTTTATTTCTTTTCATATCTTTTGCATATTGTGGGTGTGTCTATGTAAAATGTATAGGTTGCTATTCTTTATATGCACTAAAGAAAGGTATTACATAATATTGGCATAAAATGCCAACTTTCCTCATGTTTGTTGCGCCCCCACCTGTCTGGTCTCTTCCCCACTAGTGGTGCCTGCCCCACACTTTGAGAGACAAGGAGCTATACCATTGTAGTAAACATTATGAATCTGGCTGGCACAGCATTTGACAGAAAAATAGGGAGTATATCAATGGCTGATCTATGTAAAGTGTAATCCATATGGCATTCAGTGTTTCTCCTACACTGTTAAAAAAAAAATTGTAAAATTACAATAAAATGTTTTATTTCAAATGAAATGAAAATACATTAAATTTACAAAAATGTTATCCTTTATTCTTTTGCATAAAAACACTGTCATTATTATGATCAAATACCTTAATTAAAAGGGCAATTCCAAAAGTTCAACAAATAAATAGTTATTTTACAGCTTTTATTAATATTATTATGATCAAATACCTTGATTAAAAGGGCAGTTCTACACTGTAAAAAAAAAAACAGAAAATGTACTGGCTGAAAATTACCAGCACATTTTCCGTTAACGGACTCTTCCTTCAAGTCTCAAGGAAAATACTGTAAATGAAGTTTTCCACAGTTTGTTGTTCCAAGGAATATTTCTTAACTAATAGTTTATTTTCATTTTTAATTTTTCATTCTGCCAATGCAGAATTGTTTGTTTAATAAATGGTGTTGTTCACAAAACTACAAAAAGTAATTTGAGAATATAGTAACTCACTACATTCAGTATTTTTCATGGCTCAAAGGCCCATAAACATGCAACTGTCTAGATGAAACTGGATTTGAACCAGCAACCTGTGGATTACAAAACCAAACACTTACACTGACTTAAGTTGTAACTTTTCAAGTGGAATGAATTGCAACATAATTTAGCAGGACTGAAAGAAGGTGAGAGCTCCCCTAGTGGCTATGGGAGTGCATTTCCATAGAGCAGATATTATGGGGGGTAGCCTCATTGCTTTTAGGCTCCGACCACACGAAGCCGGTGCGTTCCCTATCCGATCATTTTTTTTCCTCGTTCTAAAAAAAAATTGCGTAAACACGGCGTCGTCTCAAGAAATACAGTATCTGCGTACAAACGAAACCACTGAAAACGGTGTAGTATATATGCCAGACCAGTATGGGGCGCTGTAATTCTGCCATAGAGATACACTATACNTCTTTGGCTGGTTTGTTATAGAGATGTCTGCATACTGTAAGTATAACAGAGACATGAATAACTTACCATAATGGCTGAATATGTGTACTGGGACTGTCACGTCGCGTGAGCACTGGGAGCGCAGACAAATCGGCAGGATACCAGGGATCGGGAACACTAGGTTTAATGATAGGAATGAAGGCGAAAACACAGAACAACTACACATTACTACGTCAACATATCAATGACCGGACTGGGGAAAGAAACGGAAACGCGGACTAAATACAATGAACCAATGACAACAATCAGAAACAGCTGTAAAACACTGGGATTCCACATGAGGTTAACAAGGGGGCGTGGCACATGAGAGGAGCGGACGAACGGGGCATGACAGGGACAGCATGTTTGTGGCTTTCCAGTCATTGTTTACATCTCCACATGCTCAGCACTTAACCTGGATGAATATTACATTTGTATCCACATCATTATGAATTCACTATATGGTTTGGCTCAAGATGTAACATTTCATATCACTGCTGGTTTAATTCTTTTGAGCTTTTTTGCTCTTCCTTTATGATGCAGGACTGTAATGGCCTCCTGCCAGTAGGGGGCACTGAGGCTGTAATGGGGAGCCTGACTATTACAAAGGAAGGGAGATGATATAAACATCCTCAGTGATACAGCAAATGTGTCTATGTAATACAGAAAACTGTCACTGTCAATAATCGTTATTATATAATAATTATAAATATGCAAGTAATCATTAGTTTTCATTACACATTATTATTACTCATTACATGTAACCTGGCAGCTACAAAAAGCTCTTATTGACGACTTTGTATTTTGAGCTCCAACATGGTTAATCGAATCTTTTTTTAATTATAGGGTTGGCAAAAAAAGAAAAGTAAGTATATTTTTCTCTGTGGTATATGTTCAAGTCATTTTGTCTGATAAAATGTAATTAATGTACAAAAAATCCATCCATCCATCGTGGTGAGCCTGGTTAGAACTACAGAGTCCAAGCCGGGAGGTGTGAGGTGCCAGTGTTACCCACTGAGTCACCAGGCATAAACGTTACAAATGAGTGTAACTCTATGTAAAATATTAAAATGTTCAGAGGGCTCATCACATTTGAAACAGTAAGTTGAATTTTTGTCTCGTAATTGTCAGAATGACCTAAATTTATGGCATAATTTTATGCGGGGAATCCAAAAGTCACTCCTCTGACCGGCAGGTTAACCTGCAAATATGGGAAATAAAACACATAGAACATGTAAGAATTATGAGGACTTGCTAATAGCACATGGGGGGGAAGGGTGCCGTCACACTAGCGTCAGGGATTCTATATCATATCCATCTGGGGCGTCATCATCTTCATTGGGGGAACCTAAAATAAATAAATCAAAAAAATAAAAATAAAAGCAAAATCTTTTACTGGGGCCATGATCTCCTTCAAAAAACATATAATAAACGAGAAACAGATGAGGAAGTGAGGACCACTAGGGGGCGCCATAGTTATCATCAGGGGCTTCCATTAACTCTGCTTAGGACATAGCTGTCCTGATCGGGGAAAACCTAAAAAACAAAAAATAGATAAAGATAAAAAGAGAAAAATGGAAGTACCCCTAGGGGGCGCCGTCATCACCAATATACGCTTCCACTGTCTCCATCAGGGTCATTGTCTTCTGTACTGAGGGAATTCTGAGTAAAAGAAAAGTAGAAAAAAATGAAAGAACTTTAGGGGCCGCTGTTATTGCTATTTTTCATTGTCTCTACCTGGGGCATGGGCATCTCCACCAAGGGAACCTAAAGACAGACAGAGGAAAAGTTAATGAAGCCAGTAATCCTTGAACATCAAGGATGTTTATTTAAGCTTTTCTGTACCATAACCTAAATATAAGGTGGTAATGGAAACTGGTAAGATATTCATAAAATTTTACTATTAAGTAATATGTGATATTCTGACAAATCTCAGTTATAATAAGTGTTATTTTTTCCTTAGATTAAAAGAAGTGTTCGTCCATCTTCTGAAAGCCAAAGATCCTGAGCCAGACCAGGTAGGTGCCCAAGATACTGTACATCTGCTCATGGGCGTCGTTAGGTCTGATAACTCAGGGCTACAGTCCCGAGTGTTTTAAGCTTAGCCCTGAGCATTTTAGCCTCTGATCTTTTCAATAGCTAGAAATTCCCCTGCATCTGCGCCTCTGGCTGGTGTCCTGGGTCCTGTTTCTCTACATCAGTCTGTAGAAGAGCCCTTATTATGACTCCAGCACCCAGGAACATGTCAGTACATTCTCCATGGTCACAGGCCCTTGTTGTTAAACATGGTAGGGAAGGTGGTCATATATTACTGAATCTCAGAAAAAGCCAATCCAAAGCCAAAACCGAACAAATACTCTTCACATCCAGGCCAGCCACTCCACCCCACTCAACACCCCCCCAGTCACGGCAATGTACACTGTAAAAAGAAAATAACCATAATTTTTTTACAATAGTTTCTCTTTTTTGAAAGCTGTCTACAAAGCTCTGTAAAATTACAGAAATTATCCCTGAATTAATAAACCAACCTTTATTTTACGCATAACGCCAGTAATGAAAAATTACACGTATTTCACATTTTTAAAAGGAAAACTACTGTTTAATTTATACTGTATGTTTTCCACTTTCTCAAATTACATACAAATTTATGTAAAATCACAACATTTAACTGTAATTTAAAAAGTAATTCATAATTTAAAGATTTATGACCATACTAAAAATGTAGCATTTTTCTTTGTAATT